CGACATCGAGGGGAGCCAGCGCTTGGGAAGCTGAGGCAGGAGGATGGCAAGTTCAAGGTGGCCTGGGCTACAGAGCTGGGCATCTTCCCAAGAACTTGCCCCCAAATGAAAAATGTATAAAAGGCCAGGGCATGGTTGTGTTTGCCCGGTATACATGAGGCCCTTTATCCAACCCCCGATTCTCAGAAAGGAGTGAGGGGAGAGACAGGAGAGGAGGGGAAGGGGGGGCAACAACAGTTTCCACAGCAGTGTGGCACAGGGCCGTCATGAACAGCTACAGTGTCAGGAAGCAGTCAAGGACCTGGCTGGGGTCAGAAGCTTGGCCACTCACAGAGCTGAGAGCTTGGCTCTGGAAAGCCACCTGTGACTGGGACGGGCCCACAGCATTTCTCAGTGCAGGGTGGTCTCCTTTCCCAAGCCCTCCCCCGGACCCCCATTCGGAGGCTGAGGAGCGAGCAGAGTCCACCCCAGGACGGGAGCACGCACCCAGTAGCATACGCTGCCCGTGGTTCTTGAGCGTGGCCAGAGGCGTCCTCCCTTCCGGCATGCGGTCATAGAGCTGGGACAGGCACTTCTCCTGGTGGTCCACGTCTGCACCTGGCTTTACTGCAAAGACAGCCACAGGTTACGTCCCTCGGGAGACAGCGCCCCAGACCCGAGCTCTGCGTCAACAATGCCACCAAGCTCTTCTTGGCTCGCAGGCACAGCCCAGGCTACCGGGCCTTAAGCCTTTGCTCCCAAGACGACGGCCACATACTAGGGGTTCGGGGTTTGAACCTCTCTCTGCCTCCTCCTCCAAGTTGACCATTATATGGAGCCGCCTTGCACAGCTGGGGCGAGATGGCTGACCCATCTGCATTCCTCCCAGGGGCTGCCAGGCCCCCCATAAGTCTCCTTCCTTCCTTCCCCCTCTCTGGAAGGGGTCTTTTCTGTAAATTTGGGAGATAGGGTATCTAGTAGCTCAGGTTGGATGAGCCTTACTATATGTAGTTGAGGTTAACCTTAAACTCTGGCGCTCCTACCTCCCCACCTTCCAGGTGCGAGGGTTGCAGGTGTGTACCACCACGCCCAGCTTTTTCAGTCGTATAGATTGAACCCTGGGCTTGCTTGCATGCTAGACGAGCAGTTTAAGTGCTAAACTGTATGCCCAACCGTGAAAAACGTTAGTGCTGATTGTCTGTGTGTTGTGTGTGTGTGTGTGTGTGTGTGTGTGTGTGTGTGTGTGTGTGTGTGTGTGTGTGTTTTGT